AAATCCGACAAGATGGTCATCAAGGAATGATGCTCTATAATCTCTAAGATTTAATTTAGTAAATGTCATAAAATCGCTCACGAAAATATCCTTAAAAAGCAAAAATAAAGATCAACAATCAGAAGCAATTGGCCAACTTGCAACTTTAAATTTTTGATTCTTTTAGTTTTTTATCTAAACCATGTTTCTAAATCACTTCAAAGTAAAATAATTAATATTGCAGAGGCATCTACCTTATTTAAGAATGCTTATTTGGAGTTCTGCGAGCTTAATAATAATTATGAAGAAATTTAATCCGAGGCTTTAGAGCTTACAAAATCTTGGGAAGTAAAACCAACTTTCAAAGAAAAGCCCATCAAAATGACAAAACACTTTTTTGATAAAATAAGTAACGATATAAAATTATCAGAAAAAGAAAGATTTAAAAAATTAGCAGTATTCTAGATACAACTTCTTCCCAATTAAATGAAAATATCGAGGATAAATTTAAATTTTTTTAACCTTCCCATTTAGTATACCTAAGTGGTTGTGACAATGCTACAAGAAAAATTTGATAATGATTTATCTGAAAAATTTGCAGGGGAAATATTAAATTTTCGCTCTGCATTTAGAGCAAGATTAAAAAATATACATACAGTTAATAAAGTGATTGATTTATTTTTTTGTAAACATCAAACCACTGTCTCAAAGTTTCGCGACTTGTGCAGTGCACTCCTATTGTTTTTAACACTTCCTGTTACGTTAGCTCTGCTGAAAGAACGTTTTCAAAGCTCAAGCTCATAAAAAACTATTTAAGAAGTCCATAAGCCAGACAATACTAAATAGCCTAACAATATTAAGAATAGAAAATGAATTTGCCCAAAAAATCAATTTTGATAGAATAATCGATCAATTTTCATCGATTAAAATCGAAGAAAGTCCCTCTAGTGTTTTATTATAAGTTCTTTTCTTATGTTTTATTATGTTATAAATTACAGATTTTTAGTTTATGATTATAGGTTTATGTTATGTACATATTTTGTTATATATTTTATATTTCTTTAAATATACGTTTAATATAATATTAAATAATTTTTTGATTATTTTGGATATTATACAAAATAAATGTTTATTTTTGGCGCCAGCCGATATGATTGCCCCCGGTGCCGATATTTCTAGCTACGCCACTATTAAAAATTTTAAACAGTAATTTTAACTTAAAATTACTATTTTCTTAGCGGATTTAGGAACATCTAAAAACGGTTGGAAAAAGTTTAAATCATATATATAAGGTATAGGCATACCTACAGTCTGACCTATTTGTTTGCGACTCACCCAAGTAAAATCTTTATATTGTTAGATTTTAACCGCTAATATGAGTTCTTTAAAAGTGATATAGTAGGCCTTGTATTTTGTAAAAATATGGTATTTTTTGCTCCAAAAATACAGATTACCATAAGTTTAAGACACTCTGTAGAGTGGCTAAAGGGTATATTGCTCTAAATTAAGTTTTAGTTATCAAGTCACATCTATTCTTAACAGTTTTGTTTTTGGTTCACCTCGATATATTTATTTTTGTGGAAAATATGGATTTTAAAAAAAAAACATTGCAATTTCCAATATTTTTTCTGTACAAAGAAATAAGGTTGCTATGGTCCATCCATAGGCAGCCTATGGATGGACCATATGATGAGATGATTCAACAAAACTGTCACTGTCATCCTCCATAGCCTATAAAAGGCTATGGAGGATGACAGTGACAGTTTTGTTGAATCATCCCATACTTGGACATGTCATATACGGCTTTCAAAAGCTATCAAATTGTTTTTTGCAAATTAATGTTGCCAGAGCCATTGATTTAATTCAGGATGGACGGTCACAGTATTACGTGACAAGTGTTTTAAACGTCACAAGAAGTAACAAAGTGTATACATCAGTCGGAGACATATATGCGTCTTCTTAGTTTTAAAAATATATATATACATTTTTAAAACTAAGAAGACGCCTTCAAATAAACACATTAATTTACAAAAAACAATTTGATAGCTTTTAAAAGCTGTATGTGTCCAAGTATGGGATTATTCAACAAAACTGTCACTGTCATCCTCCATAGACTATGGATGGACCATAGCAACCTTAGTTCTTCGTACAGAAAAAATATTGGAAATTCAATGTTTTTTTTAAATCCATATTTTTCACAAAAATAAATATATCAAGGTGAACCAAAAACAAAACTGTTAAAAATATATGTGAGTTGATAATTAAAACTAATTTTAGAACAATATACGGTTTTTTAGGTCTGTGGTTTTGCCACTCTACAGAGTGTCTTAAACCTTTGGTAAAAAACATATTTTTGTTTAAACCTGTTTATTATAAACTCTATTTTTTTAGTAATTTTTAAAATGTAAGCGATTCTCCATTAATTTTTCTACAATATTCTTTAATATTTGTTTAAATTCAAAACCAAATAAAAAAGATATTTGCGATTGAAATTCATCGAAAATTTGTGTGGATCGATTATTTTGCCTTTGAGAGTATTAAAAAAAATTTTCGACCATATTTTATTTAACAAACTACTTAGGTATATAGGTATTTCGATCGCTTTACTCTTTTATTTTGCTTGATTCCATAAAAAAGTAAGAGGTCAATGTGCTATTTAATGTTAAGGTTAAGGTTAAGGTTTTATTATAAATTTTATAAGTTAAAAGTTTTAACTCATACAATTTCTAATACAACCTAACGGGTTTCTTTAACAACAGCAATGGTTTTTTTGTGACAAGAAGTAGTGCCAAAAACTATAGCCAGCAATATTCTGCACATTAAATATGAGTTTGAATAGTATATATATTGAATGGATTACTGTTCTGCTCATTAATGGGTACGGTTTTATTTTCGTGTAGATAATGATAATTAAAATTTAATTTTATAACACGGTACCTATTGCGGTACTTAATACAAAAAAATTAACTGCATGCATCGTTTCTTAAAAAAAAACTAAAATTACGTAGTTTGTAAGCTAAAAATATTCTTTGTTAAACATTTTTTAATAGTAAAATATGTAGGTACATACCTATTTATGCATATTTTTTGTTGTTAACAATATCTTCTTTAATAGATAAGAAGTTTTTAACCATGTGGTCACATTGTTTTAATAGTATATTAGGTATCAAGTTTTATAAACGCCATTTTAGTTAAGCACGAGCAAAGCTTACAAGCAAGTGTTTAATAAAAACGAGTGTCTACATAAGTTTATAAAACGAGTTGCATACTAAACTTTATCTACGACGACCAAAAAGAAGAATTTAAATAATTTAATAATTAATAATTTAATTTATAATAAAGCTAACTTCAGCCCGTGACTAAAATGCCCAAAAGCCACTATTGCTAACTTCAGACCGTGACTAAAACGCCATAAAGTCACAGCTCGTCAATGTAGGAGTAGATAAAATAAATAAAAATACACGGTACAGTAAAAAGCAAATATGGCAAAAATTATCGAAAAAAATTAGTTTTTCTAAAACCAATATAAGCCATAAGCTTAATTTATTAAAAGTGGTTAAAACAAGAAGTTCAAAAACTTTTTTTTATTAATTTTAAGAAAACTATATTTTAAAATTACCTAATCTACTAAAAATATGGTATTTGTAGTAAAATGGCAAAGACGAGTGAGGTAAATATTGTGGCCAGGAACAACACTGTTCATTGTTAAAACCATCAAGTTTCGGAAAGACATTAAGAGAAAAGGGTTTTACATAATCATAAATAAAGCGAGGGAGGCATTTTGAAGCCGTCAAATTATTTTTATTTTCTTGGCGGCGAGATGAATAAACGAAACTGTTTTTCGCCTTTATTTTTGCCATTACGTTTTTACGGGTTTACAAACCCTCGCACAAAAATCTGAATGCTGATGTGCTTAAGTTAAAAATAACCGTGCAACATACATGAAAATGATGTTTTATTTATGAGTCGTTCATCACTTTCTCTGCAATTTCAAGTTATCTTTTATCTTATTGGTGTTTATAATAATAATAATATTAATAATAAATTATTTCAATTATTTGACAAGGCATGATGTACATATATATTTAAAGTTATACAAATAAAAACACACAAACATTGTAACGTACCTTAAAGTCATATATCGATGGATCTATTTTATTCGAGTCCTGCAATAAATTAAAAAAATTTAAGAATTTTGAATAAATACAACTTACTACACATTAGATTTAAATGATTTAATACAATTATAGATTTAAATGATTTAATACAATTATAATATATTAGTACATTTTACATATAATACAATTTTACACAACTGTCCGCCGAAATAAGTTTTTGATATTTTTCAAGAAAATTGATTTCTAATATTTTCAAAACTTGGCCTTATCAACAAAAATGCATGGGGAAATAAAAAACAGGATAGACTAATATACCTCAGTAAAAAGTTAATTTTCATCAATACGCTCTGTATACAGGGTGTTAAAGTGGCGGCTGGTGGATTTTGCATATGCCATATCTCAGTTATTATATATGGGACCCACACCAAATTTATATGAGTTTATAATGACACTAAATTAACAAGTTCTGCGCAAAAAAGATAGTTTTTGCTGCAGCTCCCCTGCAGCCTGTCCCCCCTAATAAAGATAATACAAATTTTAGTAGTGCAATTCATAATTTACCATAGTTTATTGACAACTATTAAAATTTATTTAAAAAAAGTATTACAGATTTTATTTTATTTTTTATTATTTTAGGAAAAGTAATACAAATTTAAAATGGTATAAAATCTGTAATACTTGGATTTTTTAAATAAATTTTGAAATTTCTCAATAAAGTATGGTCACAGAATAAAGAACAACCAGAAGCGACACTTGTATCTCCCGCCAAAACCAAATCTGCTCGTCGCCGCCATCTTCTTGGTGTTATATGTCATCGTGTTTTTATTAACCTCAAATTGTGTTTGTAAAGTTTATCTTAAGTATTTTTGATCGTTTTTTGTGGTTTTGCCAAGCAAGTGTATAATGGAAGAAAAAACCTCAATTAAAGGTGGAACTGTGTGTGCAGTGCCTGGATGTCATAATAATACTCTCAGAAAGACAATCTGTTTCTTTAGATTTCCAAAGGACCCGGAAAGGTATTTATTAACTTTAATTTTATGTATACTATTATAATAATAATATATTATAATATATAATATAATATAAAATATATATTTAATTTTAATAAGGTTTTTATAGTTATACTTTTTCTTGTGGTTTTAATGTTTTATGTTATAACAAAAAAAATTGTTTACTTTAATAATATTAATAAAAAATAATAATAATAATAATAATAAAGTTGTGCATAGTTTAATATTTGTTTTTATAAATATTTAATTCTTCCCAATGTGGATAGTTTTAAATTTGCCGCTATGAGTAACACCAACAAAATGGCTGAAGGTTATCCAAATTGAACAATAAAACTTCAAAGGCGGCTTAAAAAGTGTCGCTTGAAGCGACTCGCTTCTGGTTGTTCTTTATTCTGTGGTATGGTATATTATAAATTGCACCACTAAAATTTGTATTATCTTTATTCGGGAGGCCAGGCTGCAGGGTAGCTGCATCAAAAACTATCTTTTTTGCGCAAACTTCTATTTAAATTCTGCTTGCGCAGAACTTGTTAATTTAATGTCATTATAAACTCTTATAAATTTGGTGTGGGTCCCATGTCTAATAACCAAAATATCGGTATACGCAAAATCCACCAGCCGCCACCCGGTGTTTAGTAAACAATGTTTAAACGGAGGAGTATCCCTCTTTGAAGGTGGCTCGTAGATAACATTTAAATTTTAATTTTTATCTCAGGTGTACTTTAACTTAATAATATATTATTGGTTCAATCTTATGAGTTTTCATTTAATTTTACAAAAACAAATTGTTAAAAAAAGTCTAAACCAACCGTTTTTTTTTTATAAAAATTGCTTTGAAAATGTTTTATTAAAGTATTCAATCTAATTTGTGTCTTAAAACAAATAAATTGATATCTTTGGCATACTAAACCGATTATAAAGTTCTAAATTGACCGACATAGATCCTTTAGATAATTTTGGGTTGTTCAAGCATTAGACTGCGTATTACAGCGGCAGATTAAATTCGCTTCATTTTCTACAAAAGGGGTTTGATAATTTGATTGCGGCGCCCACTAAAACGAAAACGCTTATCGTCAATACCATGAACTTTAACGGTTATTGTTATTATTATCGCTGCAGGATAATTTATACCATGGGATACTGCAATAGGTAAGAACTCAAATGTTGTTATGTGGTTATTGTAGATAATAAAATTCCAAAAAACTCGGCCATATATGGCCGAATTTTTTATAAATAACGGTAATGTTTAATAAACATTGTTTATGTAAGGTCAATAATTTGGAAACATAAGCTTAAATGAAAAATATTTATTTGAAAAAAGTGTTAGTCCTAATGAGAACCACAACCTTTATTACATAACCTAATTTACGCTGTCTATTTTGAGTAGAATCACCGTGTATAATATACACGGTGATATTATATATAGGACTTAAAAACTAGCTACCCCTTTTAAGTTATAGTAAATATGATCCTAAGTAAAAACAGGTCGATTTAATATTGAGGGGGAAGTACCAATTCAGTGTTAAACAAATTAGATACATAGATACCCTTTCGAAAAATCTCTTTCAAAAGTTTGAATGCTATAAATGGATTATCAGGGATATATTTATGTAAATTAAAGTAACAAAATATGTATACGAGGTGTGTTCAAAAAATAAGGGGAATTTATAAATTTCGCCGGTTCGGAGAGTCCGGTGGTCATAAAATGTTCTTTACTATGTTGATATACATGCCCCTAAAGTATGATAAAAACTTTAGCTGCTTTCATCGTTAACTTTGTCTGTGGCAGCTGCTAAGGTTAGACTAGGTTTTATAAGCTCGGCGATTTTTGTTCGTTAAAAGAAATGGATCAAAGAATTTGTATCAAATTTTGGGTAAAACATGAAGTTAAAGTGTGTGAAAAGGCATATGGTGAGTATGATATGAGTAAAACAAGAGTTTACTAGTGGTATAAGCGTTTCCAAAAGGCCATGAAGACGTTGAAGATGACGAACGCCCAAGCATAAAAACGCCGATAAAAACGTGAAAAAAGTGGAAGAAATGGTAATGAACGATCGCCAAATCACAATCAGAAAAGTTGATGATGATGTTGGCATATCGATTGGCTCATGCCATAATTTTTTTTAAATGTTTTAGGCATGAAATGCGTGGCTTTTGCACCACAATAATGCACCTGCTCACACTTCATTGCTTGTTCGTGAATTTTTGGCCAAAAACAATACTGTAATGATGCCCCAGCCTCCATATTCGCCAGACATGACTCGTGTGACTTTTTTCTATTCCCAAAAATTAAGAGAACCTTAAAGGGCCGTCGTTTTGCAAGCATAGATGACATTAAAAGCGCATCGCTAAAAGAACTAAAGGCTATCCCAAAGGGCATATTTTAAATACGACAAATAAATAAATAATTTGTTCAAAAAACGAAAATTCCCGTTATTTTCTGAACACACCTCGTATGCGAAGAAAAATGTAATGTAAATTTTACATTACATTTTTGTAAAAAAATAGAACAAATACCAATTTTTGCATAATTCTTCGACGATTATTAAATCCAGAAATGGTAAAATAAGTGCTAACAAGTTGAACAGAAGATATAAACATCTTAATTTCTCATCTACTGTGTTATCTGACACAATAAAATTTAAAAAAAAAACAGTTTTATTAACCTAAAAAATATATAGGTATATCACCGACAAAAACTTTTTAATCGATTTGAAATGTAAATGAATAAATAACGTAAACAAAAATCTAAATTTTGCTAGTTTTACATAAGTGGTCTTTTTAATATTTGTATTTTTTGATTTGGTAATTTTCCAATTAAAATTATTATATTACTTCTGTCATGTTTTTAAAACTGTATACAAAATTCTCTCTGACAAGCTCTAACAGTATCATGTACTTAACACAATTTGATTTTTTACTCCCCTATCAGTGTAGATAACAACCATTTTTTTATAAGATCCCATAAACAAGAGCCAACAGTAATTTAAATTGGATAAAACAGTATTCTTGTGAAATTATATCCGACTAAATCCCTATATCAAGTTGTCGCACAGAATTAGCATACCTTTTACCCTTGTTCCCTGTTCAATTTGATCCTAAACAATCCCATATCCAACCCAAAGACATATTAACAAATTTAAAATTGCAAAGACCCAAAACTAATACTTTCGACCCCAAAATGTCTCTACAAAGGGGTGTTTCCTGAACCTTCTATAGAATGTGGTTTCTTTTGGAAGTGACTAACCAGAGCACGATATTCTCAATTCCGATAAAAACCACTTTCTATAGAAATTAAATTCGCCAATTTCAAGAAACCCCCTGAATATAAAAGTTTGCAATGGTGGCGAATGCACCGGGATTAAATATATAATATTATATTATTATACGAGAGATAATACACATAATTTCGAGTGTAATACAGTACTTTATCTACTTCAATAAGAAGATAATTAATTGATTTTCAAAAATAAGTAAATAAAATTTGACATCTTTTAAATGGTTAACCTCACTTGTTACAAATTTTAAATAATAATATGGTCGCCTTCTCTCAACTTAAAACCAGATTGATTCAAATCACAGTGAATATTAAAATAATAATGAGCCCATTATTTACGTTGTTAGGCAGGTAATTTATCAGTATATACAAAAAAAACAATATTATGCAATAGGAGTAGATAAATATTTATAAAATATTGATTTCACTTTTGAGCGCTAATTCGATATACATATGAAAATAAAAATTATAAATAACACATTGGTTTACAAGTACTCATTACCGACACAATCAGAAAAAACTTAATTTATTATTGAAATGAAAACAGGGTTTGTTGACATGATTTAAAATTTAAAATAGTTCATTAGTAAACCTTAATAAGCCCAGTTATATAACCTGTTGAATCTTGTTAATTCTTTATCAAATAGTCTTTAAAAATAAATGCACCAATAGGAAATTACAATTATCATTGTTTATTGTCTATTAGCATTCCATCAAAAATTTAAAGCAAGGTAGATAGTAAATTAAATTGTACTGCTCAACATTTAAAAGTTAGAAAAGTTAAGTATAATATAATATAATATAATATAATATAATATAATATAATATAATATAATATAATATAATATAATATAATATAATATAATATAATATAATATAATATAATATAATATAATATAATATATTATAATGGTATATAAAATAATAAATTATTTATTTTGTATTTAAAAATTTGGGTTGGTGTTGCAAAAACATGTGCTTCTCCTTTTTTTTGTAAATTTAAAGATTTTAGATTAAATTAGATTATACCATATTTTAAGTATTAAAAAGTAGGATACCGAAATAATTTTGATAATTTGTTTATCAAATGTAAACGAACGTATTATCATGCCCTTGCCCTTCAGTGGTTTTCAGTCATTGCTCCCATTTTATGATTTTCTTCTTTATATGTCTAGTACAATCGCATAATGGTTCTGGATCTATTTGCCAGTTGCTCCAGGCATTCGTGACATTCCTTTACCAGATTTATTTTTTTCTTAAGGTTGGTAAAGTTGATTGCAGCCTAACTGTCACTAGCTTATAGTTTTCTCAAGAATGGTTCGGGCGCAATCTAAAATGGCCATTATTTCGGTTTGTACGTGTGTACGATCTTGAGACCTCCGTTAAAGGTTTAAAGATGTCCCTCACCGAGACGCCCGTATACCAGACTAAGGCTTCTCTTTTCCTTTCTACCGGTAGAAGAGTTTCCAGCCATTCGTCCCTTTAAGGCAGTAGTGTTTGAAAGTTTTTGTCGAAGATAAATTTTAAATCCATCTCGTCCAAATATATGTATGTCTTTTAGATATGGTATCCATTGAAAATACCAAGGTGTAGTTTGTATTTCCTGTGTGTGGGATTCCTAAGGCTTCTTCCAATAAGGTTCGTTTTATACAAATGTATGTAGGTGTAAAGGAGTCATGTTTGGGATGAACTCCAACGATCTTTGAATTTTGATTAGTACTTTTTGAGCTATAGTTTGTTTTGTTTTCAGCCACGAGACTAAAGCGGCAGACTATTGTATGACCAATAACTTATGTTGCCTTAAATGTGTAAAAATTTCATGTGGCAGCCACTGGCAAATATTTTTCTTAGATTAGACCATGGTTTGTCTTTGTAAACCCAACTTTTTAAGTATCCCTTGAGAAAAAAGTTATGTATCAAATTTGGACTCCTGGATCGCCCTAGAATAGGTATACCCTTTACCTACGAAATTTGCGAGGTTTAACAAATTAAAGGTTCAGTTTTGAAGATCTTTACTATAACTGAATTAAAACCGCCTAACATTATG